TAACTACTAAAAAATAGAGACAGAGCCAGAAATTAGATGAAGAAAAGCGCCTGACAGGTCTTCCAGTCCTGATAGGAACTGGAACTGAATGATAAAAAAATGGCTCCAGTTCTTTATGTAAGGGAGAGTACATCAAAGGCAGGGATAAAGTTCCAGCGGGAGGATTCTCGCTTCTCAGTGTGGCAGAGGTCTGGCAGTACACAGGTTGATGGAGTTGGGTAGGAAGAACATGTATTGGGCAGTCTCAAACAAGCAGGGTTGCCACTGAGAGTTCTCCGTACCAGGTTTTCCTGCCCAATGGCTTCTACATCATTCTAGTTCACTCACAGTTCACGGATGGCTCTTGGCACATACATATATGTATATATGATTATATATGAAAACATATAAATATATGATTATTAATATATGCAAATATGTGCATGAATAAGTACATAACTGTGAATCAGATGATGTATATGAATATATGTGAATATACATAAATATGAATGACTATGAATATTTATATATGAATATGAATATAAATATGAATACAATATATGTGAATATACATAAATATGAATGACTATGAATATTTATATATTAATATGAATATAAATATGAATACCAATATATATGAATACACATATAAATAAATATATGAATATAAATATATATTTTCCAATTTCCTCTGCTCAGTATGGGGAATGGATCACCAGGCTCTCTGCTAGAGGAGGGGTGTAGATCTGCATGCCTTCTGCCCCTTTATGGAAGTAGGTTCCCCTTGTGGTAGCAGGTACCTGTGTCCTTCACTCCATGAGGGGAGTAGATATCCATGTCCTCCATATGGTGAGATGTCTAAAACTATGTATTCTATACCTATTCAAGAGAGTTAATCCCTGTACCCTTCATCTGATGAGTTCCCATTCCAGAAAATTCAAGTTCAACACCTGAAACATGAAACTGGAGAAGATATATATATATATATGAATGAATATGTAGTCCCCAGTACCCTCTACTCAGTATGGGGATTGGGTCACTTTGCCCTCTGCTAGATGTGGGGAGTAGATCTCCACACCTTCACCTCATGATGGTAGTAGATCCTTATGGAGGGAGCAGGTCCCTGTGTCCTTGATGTAGTGATGAGTGTAGATCCCTGTGCCCTCTACCTGGTGTGGGGAGAAGAACCATATGTTCTCCACCTGATCAGGGACAGAATTAATCCCTGTGCCTTCCATTTCACCATTCCCATTCCATAATATTCCAGTTCAAACCCTGAAGTACAAAACTGGAAGCTATATATATATATATATATATATGAACATACAGATCTCCAGCTTGCAAGACAGTCTGGAACTTCTAAGCCTCGGTAATCCTATGAGCCAATTTCTTGAGTCTCTTCTTGTACATGTACCTATCTATTTCTATCACATTGGTTCTGTCTCTGGAGAAACCTAACTTACACACATTCCTGTGTCAGGATTTGCATCAGTGCATTCCTGAGAGATTATGCATGTCCCTAGCAAGACCTGAAATAGCTCTCAGGACAAAGGTGATTCTGACTATAAGAGAATATTGTTATATTTGCACTGAGTGAAACCCCTGTGGTCAATGACCTAAAGAGTATTGTCAACCCGTGAAAATTATTTAGCAATAAGCACTCAAAATAATAGATGCTGATAAACATTTCCAAGTGAGGAAATCAAAACAATAAGACCTCAAGCAATTAATATTAACCACTTATTTTGATCAATTGCTCTTACCTATTGTCTTTTAACTTTTATTTCTAACCTATTCTAAATCACAAGGTACAAACCAGGTGTCTGACTATAAGCAATACTAGGATTTACTTGGTTTGAATTCCATCTCACATCTCTTTTTCTATATGTATGTATATTAGAGATGTTTATTTAGCAATAATTTGTTGATCTAAAACTTTAGAGAAACTAACCATGATCATAAAAAAATTGATCATGAATATCAACATAAAACAATATAGCTCACACAAGCAATGGCTTCACGTAGCAGCAATATTAACGGGGACTTGGCAACCTGGGTGGGGAGTGGTCTGTGACATTCTAAATTGGAACATGTTTGTTCAGACTTGTCATCTTCAATACTCGGTGGAGCATTCAGAGAGCCGTATTTTGGATGTACCCCTGCTAGTGTCAGAGCAAAGAGAATGGTCCTTTGTTACTGGAGTTCTAAGCCAGAGGCCTGACTTTGAGGATTCAACAATCAGATCCAGCTACTCATCTCAAAAAACAAACAGAAAGGATAATGGTGAAAAGCATGAAAGGAACTTTAATCAGTGTAACTACACTGGGAAAGACAAAGGGACCGGAGACCTTAGCTCTGCCTTTGAGGTGCTGACCCTGACTTTGAGGTTTCATAGACAAGGGGATGAAGGCAAGGATTGGGGGTTTGAAAGGCTGAAGACTTTCCACAGTTACCAAAGCAGGTGATCTTGATTGGGTGTGGCCTGTCCTTCATTAGCTCAGGATTAGTTGGACTGGGCCTTGTGGGCAATAAGAAAGTTGCTGTTGTCTGGTGCGGGGGAGGGGGAGCTTCCACTCTTCAGAAGATGTTTATCAATCAGAATTACTGGTGGAATCCAAGGTGATTCTGAGGAAGGGAGACAGCTGTGAAATGGAGGCAGAAATGTTCTGTCTTTAACCCTGCTTTTAGTTACCTCTAGACATTTACAGGCAATAATTTGTAAAGGAGGAGTCTAAGCCCTTGTTGAACTTTTAGGTTCATCTTTAAAATTCGGAGCATTTATCTCTCCTGAAGTTAGCCCAAGAGTCACCCCAAAAGCAAATCATCTGGAATTGCAATATGATTATAGCTCTTGGTTCAGGTTCCAGAAAATGCCTGAACTACTCAGAACCGGTGGAGTTTGTGTAGCTAGATCTGTGCTTCCTTGAGTCTTGCTCACTATGGAAATAAGTTACTCTTTTAGTTTTTCTTCTTCTTCTTCTCCTTCTTCTTCTCCTTCTCCTTCTCCTTCTTCTTCTCCTTCTTCTTAGTGTTGGGGATTGAATCTAGAGCCTTGTGTATGCAAGCACTCTGCCAACTGAGCTGTATCCCTAACCTCTCTTTTTCTTTTTTTCAGTATGGGTTGAACCCAGGGAACTTCTAACACTGAACAATATCCTCAGCTCTTTTAATTAATTGATTGATTAATTAATTAATTTTATTTTGAGACAGAGTCTTAGGAAGTTGCCTGCGCTGGTCTCAAGCTTGTGATCCTTCTGCCTCAGCCCCCAGATTATAGGCAGGTACCACTGCTGCTGGCTAAAATTCTTCTTTTAATATGTGGGAGGCTTGGTGTCTAGATAGCTCATCAGTTCATTAGTACATCTTTCCTTTCCTTCTTTTTCGGTATAGAACAACAATAATATCCTAAATTTCAAGTAAATAGCATGATAGCATGTTTTCAAACTAATAAGCATTTAGAATAAATTCTTCTTTTTTTCTTGGTACTGGGAATGAACCCAGGGGTGCTTAACCACTGAGCTAACTCCCCAGCCCTTTCTATGTTTATTTTGGGACAGGGTCTCTTTTGGTTGCCCAGGTAGCCTCAAACTTGTGAGCCTTCTGCTTCAGCCTCCCCAGTTCCTGAGATTACAGTTCCTGGGATTACAGGTATGTACCACCATCCCCAATTATTTTTTTAATAAGGAATTTTTTTTTAAAAAAAATTTTAATTGTAAAAAGCATTAACTTTTATTGGCAAAACAAAGTCTAATTTTGTTCAAGTCAGCTGAGATGGAAACGGTAATCTGGTTCCGATGTTTGCTTTTTTGCAGCATGACTTAGAAAGTGACATGGTGCCATGTAGGGGCTTGACTTTAAACATGGCAAAACAAGAGGAGGAGGAAAGGCATAGGCAGAGGGCAGAAGTGGAAGAGGCACTATAGGATTGATCGTAATGAGAGTGGCCCGCGTCTGATTGTCTTGAGTCCTTGTAAAGCTTTGCCTGAACCCTGACACATTTCATTAGGACCCAAGCAGCATTTTAACACTAATAATAATTTCTAACATATATTAAGTTCTTATTATGCCCTTACATATCTTATCAGCCTTTACATGAATTATCTCATTTAATTTTATACCAGAAAATGGAACACTCTAAGAACCCCCCAAATCTGGATACTGGTGCTAACTCTGGCCCTTGCCCACTTGCGCCTGACCTCCTTGGCTGGGACCCATTTTCTCCTCTGCCTGGTATTCCTACCTGAACCCTGCTGGGTTATTTCTACCTCTGCTTTTCCATTTCAAACTCCTGTCCTCCAGCTCATTATCTCATTTTTATCCTTTTAGGACAACGCTGCCTAGACCAACCTGCCAGGAAGGAACTCCTATTGTTCAGCTCTGTAACCTTCTCTTGCTCTACTGCTCTTGTGTGAAACACTTCCTTCTACAAATGGGTTCAGGCGCCAGCAATTTATTTGTAATTGAAAAAAAATAACAATAACACTGAATATAGATATATATGAAGAGAAAACAAGTGGTCGAGACCTTAACAAATAATTTGTTTTTAAATGCCACAGCTACGGCAATAATGCTGGAAAGTTCACAAATAGGTCCACCTAAATCTATTGTCTCTCATTTATGTGCTAAGTTAAGAGGCTTGGATTCCTAAATTGTAAGTGAAGCAGACAGAACGTTTAAATCAGGCAGAGATGGTGGGAGGACAGCAAATTAAAAGATTGTCCTTTCCTTGGCTCCTCCCTTTGGTTAGCGCAACTGTGTAGTGTTCACTTTGTCATCTTCTAAAATTCCTCCTCTCGGTGCCCGTATGTATTTCTGGAACATTCACCAAAAACAATGACTGCATTCCCTCCTCGGGTGCTAATTCTGGGTTGTTTGGGAACCCAGCTTATCTGATGGGAGTTGGGTCTCTAGACTTTGTTGGGTGAACAGAGATGTTTTTAAAAGGGGTTGCTGTCCCTTTAAATTTTGAAAGTGAACTTGGCTCAGGAAGGCCAGCAGCTAGCTCAAGGTCCAGCCCCTAGAAGAGAGAATAGCTACAGATTCTCCATCCTCAGTCTTTGCAAGGGGACGGCTGTGCCGGGCTCTGGCAGGCTCCTGGCAGCATGGCAGTGAAGCTGGGGTCCCTTCTGCTGGTCCTTGGGCTCAGCCTGGCTCAGCCAGCCTCTGCCCGCCGGAAGCTCCTGGTGTTTCTACTGGATGGTTTTCGCTGGGACTACATCAGCGATGAGGCTCTGGAATCATTGCCTGGTTTCCAAGAGATTGTGAGCAGAGGAGTAAAAGTGGATTACCTGACTCCTGACTTTCCTACCCTCTCGTATCCCAATTACTACACCCTAATGACTGGTGAGTACTGAGTCGCCCTCTTGGAGGGAGGGGAGGTCTAGAGTCAAGCAGGACACCAAAGATAGACAAGAATCTGTTCTTGCTTAAGATATCCCCCACCCCCCACGTTTGTATTTCCCCTCCCCAATTCTCCCAAGGACCTGTTTGGGATCCTCAGGGTGGAAAAGAGAACTATAGCAATCAACGATATGGGGGCAATTTAAAAAGTGATTATTTGTTAACACAAATCAAAGTTCTAGCTAACCCTGGGTTTCTAAGTTCAAGTGCAAGAAATGGGCAGGTCTCTATGTGCCAGTGCCAAATTCCTTCTGTCCTTTGCTATGTGCCTGTCATCCTTGAGTTATGTTAGCTGGTTTACCAACAGGTTAGACTGTGAAAATGACCCTTTGAGACTCCTCAGAGGAAAGTCCTAGACTTCCTGGGCGACTTGGAAGCATTTTTAGGTCACACCCTTTGGTATTGCTTAGCAATGCCATTTCTTCCTCTTTTGCCTTTTTGGGTCAGGTGAAATGACATAGAGACCAAAAGAATTGTAGAGTTGAGATTCCTCCCTTTCAACCTCCAGCATCTATAAAAAGCAAGCCAGCCAACAAATGCAACCTTGAGAAAACAAACAAAAGTCCAGCTAACCCAGACTGCCTGGGCTGGGGAAGGTGGATTTGCCTTGGGTCATGTTTAGGTGGCCTCTGTCTGGAATTGCCTGAGCTCCAAATGTGTCAATGAACCGAACCTCTGTCTGTGCAAAAGTATGTGTAGCCCTCTTTCTGCTCATGTAGTGGGATCCCCAGCTTCTGGTTTGTTTTTCAGCTAATCTTTTTAAGGGCCAGCAAGAGGTTCTCAGAAAGAATTTAGCAAACTATCCAGGGAGGTTTTTAAGAATGCACTGTTATTACTGGTTATGCAGAACTTAACTATGTGCTTGGAACCCAGGGAGAACTTTGTAAATTATGTTAACAGAAAGTGGAGGAGAAGGCTGAAATGTCTTTATAGCTTTCAACAGAACACCAAAGCCAAAGGAGTCTGGAAATATGGATTGATACCCTGAACTAGGTACTCAGAACTCAAGGAGAACCTAAAAAATGATGTGAACAGAAAGGGGATGGCAATTCTGGAATTTCTGACTTTGTGTGTAGGTATTATACACACGTTTGCATAAAAATGATAGACACTCATGCCCCAAATTAAAGGGGAGCGATCCTATGGAGAATTAGAGATGAAGACATGGGAAACGAGAAAGAGATCAGACTGTGCACCAAGGAAAGAATTTATTTATTGTTTTTTTTAAAATTTCTCCCAATAGACAAACAATGAGTCTCTAAGATAAACATAATTAACAAAAGCCTCTCTGGTCCTCACTTGGCAAGCTTCTCCCCTTGTGGGGAAGCAGTTTGCAGGCTGCTGGGTCACACATAGATGTAATTGTATGTCCCAATCCGACTTCAGTTCGGTGCAGGGAGTTTCACACACCCAGACGGCCCCCACTCCAGTTGTCCATCAGAGCCTCGCTGGGAGGCAGGATTCATAAACTGCCACGTGCAGCTTTTCTCAGTTGCAGTGGAAAATGAACAGAATGCAGTTGAGACAGGCAGACTCCAGTAAGAAAGAAAAGACCATCACCACGCCTCAGAGAAACCAAGCCCGTGACACGGCCTTTTGTGATTCAGATCTACGTTCCTGATATTGGCACAAGGAATAATTTGCACAAAGTCTCTGTCACACTGAGACACCTTCTTCTCAGGCTTTGGATATTTTCCATTGTCTATTCAGGAGAGAAGAGCCCTTGATTGGGACAGTTTCCATGAGTGTCTGACAAAGATCTACCCCTTCACTTTCAAACCGAGGCTGACTTGAGGAGGCCACAAGCTCTCTGTACATGTTTTGTCTACATATTTTTTAAATGGAAAATATGCATAATCTGATTTGAAAGTCGGCTTGGTATATAAATTGACTTGTCCACTTTTTGTAGAAGTAATACTGTACACAGATTTGTCTAGCCAGCTCGTGTTTACTGTGTACAAACGTCTTTGGGTGTGATTTGTCTTGTACCTGCTGAGCAAACTCACAGTTTTGAGGCAGAATTTACAGGCAAGAAGATGGCAGGGCCTGAAACTAAAATCATCTCCACCATCCTGGAACAGACTCGGGAATCAATTTTAAATTCTTTCCCCCCAATAACCTTACTTATTTTTCTACCTGATGTTGAAAAACTCCCTTTTTAAAAATAAAATAAAATAAAATATAAGGAAGAATATATCTTTTGGGAATTGTACTTAAACATATGGTTTGAGCATTTGAGCATTTTATGAACCAACAAAATTGTTATACTAGATCTTTTTGGTACCAAAAGATATGCTGTTTTAGGGTTCTCCAGAATTCACAAGAGAGGTTATGGTCACACTTCATTACATGAACCACTGTGCGTTCTCTTTGCTACAGGATGAGGAATGATGGTTACTAAGGTGGGGAAATGCTGGCTTTGGAGCTAGGAGAACTTGCTTGGAGTCTTTGCAAGGAAGACTTTGGTAGGACATTACACTGCTCTGGGCCTCTGTTTCCATAGCTATAAAATAAAATGGAATGGACTGCTCAGGTCCTAATCAGGCCAGGATTCCAGATGCTACTGGATGCAGACATTAAAAGTAAGAAATGCATAGGGAACTTTAAAAAGTTAGGGCTGGTCCCTTTCTGTGCTTTGGATGTGATTTATTTTCCAAGGGTTCATGTGTTGGAGGCTTAGTCCTTTGTGTGGTGATGCTGGGAAATTGTGTGGAACCTTGAAGAGGTGGAGCCTCATGGGAGGTCTCTAAGCTATTGGGAGACCAGCCCTCAGAAGGAATGAAGGTAGCTCTGTTGGGATCTGTGAATTCTGGTGAGAGCAAGTTGTTTACAAAAGCCTGAACCTGACCTCTGACTGTTCTCTGGCTTCCTGTTTGGAGATGTGATTTCTTCCTCCCACAGGGTGCCATGATGCCATTTGCCATTAGGCCCTCACTAGAGACCAAACCAATAGAGCCACCCAATCTGGGACTTCTAGTCTCCAGAACTATACGGTAAATAAATATCTTTTCTTTATACAGTTATCTAATCTCAGGTATTTTTCTGTAACAAAAAACAAAAACAAAACCATCAGGCTAATCCATTATTCTTGGGAGGCCAGAGGCCTTTGTGTATAAATTTATCAAATGGCTGAAACTTCCGTGAAAGGGAGAATTCCATAGGGAAGTTATGTGGATGGGGATGGGAAACCAGCAATCGTACTCGTAAGGAACCTTGGAAAACATCCATCTGAGTCACTGACATGAAACCATTAGTTGTTTTCCTCAAAATATGTTTAAGTTAAGACTAATGTGAACAAAATCTCCAATAGTGATCAAGAAGATCTATCAAACAATTGATTGCTGGGGACATCGAATCATCAAACAAGGCCTTCCATCCTTCAAATTGAGGAGGGAGAAGAAATAGATACCTACTAAGACTCTAAATATAGAATGACAAGGTGAAAAATAAATTTCTGTTGTTGAAGCCACTCAGTCTATGGTGTGGCAGCCTGTGCAAACTCGAGCATGAAGGATCAAGGAGTAGTTTCCCCAAATGCTGTAGAGAACAGAGAAGAGGAGAATGTCTTTGGACATCAATGTAGCATGAGGAAGCATTTTGGGTGTGGGATTTGTGCTGGGATAAACAAGCACAAATATGGTGTAAATCATTAGGTCTTAATTTTATGCATATGGTCTCTTTCTGATGAGTTGTGGGTGGATCAACTTAGTTTTAGCAAAAATAAAACCACAGTTTAGCCAGGCATGATGGTGCACGCCTGTATCCCAGTGGCTTGGGAGGCCGTGGCAGGAGGATGGTGAGTTCAAAGCCAACCTTGGGCAATTGAGCAAGGCCTTAAGCAACTAAGTGAGACTTTTTCTCTAAAAACATACAAAAAGGGCTGGAGGTGTGGCTCAGTGGTTAAGTACCCCTGGGTTTCATCCTTGGTATGAAAAAAGAGAAACCACAATTTATATGCCTTTGGAATGCTTTCTGTTTTAACTGTAGATCTTTTTGTAAAGTTATTCTCTCTTTGGGGGGTAAATTCATATTTGATTTAGTGAAGTTTAACATAAAATTGGTGGAGGATCCAGTCATGGGGAAGAGAAAAGGCTGCATATATTTGGAGGCAGCACAGCTTAGTATTGTTTTGCTAAGGCTGACGGCAGCATTTGTTTGACATTCTGAAACACTTCTGGTTAAGAAGTTGGAGAAAGTGGCCCATAAGTGTCCTGAATAGCAGGGAGAATTTTATCTTTACGGCAAACAATCGACCAGGACATGAACATATGCTGAAATAAATTTAGTATAAAATAATTCTCATCTCAACATTTTAAAACTAATAAATAAAAGACATGGAGGTGGAGTGTTTTGAGACACTCCAGAATGTCAATTCAGAGCTGAGATGGGAGGGTAGGTATCTGGAGCCTGGTTCTCTTGCAGGCTTTGAGCTGTGACCTGTGCCTGCCTAGGGTGGCCAGAACGTTGTGCTTGTGACCTAAGACCCAGGACAGAGGTCTCCCCAGGACAGAGGTCTCCCCAGGACCAGTCCAGGAGGCAGGGAGAGCCTGAATAATGATGCTTTCTGTTTTTCTTTCTTTCTTCCTCTTTTGCTATGCTGGGAATCACACCCAGGGCCTAATGCATGCTAGGCAAACATTCTACCATTGAGCCACGACCTCAGCCTGAATTATGGTACTTTATTAATTCTGCATGGGCATCAAAGCAAAAAACCAGGATGTTAATGGCTCAGACTTAATATTTGTGCAAGTACATTTCCTATCATGCTCCTAGAAATTACTTGGGATGTAAAATCTTAGCAGATATCAAGGACCTAACTTTCTAGAGTAAGAGACTACCAGGTATAAGTATGGTATGCTTTCCCCCTACTTTTAAGAAAATATCTGATTTAAATTAAAATCAGTCATCTCTTGGACCAAAGGAAATCCTCGTAGAAGGTACTG